ACCTACGGGGTTGGTGCACGCGGACCCACACATGCTCACAATACAAAAAAAATGGAAAAACCCGGAAATCGCCCTGGAGAAATGGAAAGCCCCCTTTTAACCCTGATTGCCTCTGGGAGGTGACTGGGGGAGCATGGGAAGGAGAGCATATTTTACTGTCCATCCGTTAACCATTTGAATTTTGAACCATGTGACTTGTCGCCAATTTCTAAAAATTTAACTAAAATAATCCCATCACTGTTAAGATTTGAGAGTAGCCCTAGCTGGTTTGGCTCGGTGGATAGAGCAGTGGTTCTCAACCTTCCTAATGCCGCGACCCTTTAGTACAGCTCCTCATGTTGTGGGGACCCCCAACCATAAAATTATTTTCCTTGGTACTTCATAACTGTAATTTTGCTACTGTTATGAATCGTCATGTAAATATCTGATATGCAGGATGTATTTTCATTGTTACAAATTGAACATAATTAAAGCATAGTGATTAATCACAAAAACTATGTAATTATATATGTGTTTTCCGATGGTCTTAGGCGACCCCTGTGAAAGGGTCGTTCGACCCCAAAAGGGGTCGCGACCCACAGGTTGAGAACCGCTGGGATAGAGCATCAGCCTGCGGACAGAAGAGTCCCGGGTCTGATTCCGGTCAAGAGCACATGCCTGGGTTGCGGGCTCAATCCCCGGTAGGGAGTGTGCAGGAGGCAGCTGGTTGATGATTCTCTCATCATTGATGTTTCTATCTCTCTCTCCCTCTCCTTTCCTCTCTGAAATCAATAAAAATATATTAAAATTAAAAAAAAAGACTTGAGAGTATATCCTCCCAATATTTTGATTTGCTGCTTTATAGCTTTCCTTAACATTGGTATCATACCATCCATGCTCTTGGACAATCTTTTTAATAATTTACTGATGTATTTAGGAACATTTTACCACATCAAATAATATTCTTTTCGAGTATTTTAATGGCAAACCTAAGATTTTTATGTATGGGTACATTATATTTAAACCCACTCCCTTTAAAATATTTAGACTTTTCAGAAGGCTTTTTGAAAACGCTAATATGATTACATCTTTATGTATTTTATTATTTCTTTAGGACATATTCCTAACAGAGGAATTGCTGGGTCAACAGAGATGACTTTGGTAAATATTGCCAAATTGTTCTCCAGAAAGGTGGTAGTGATTAAACTCCCAATAATGGTTCTTGTTACATAGACAAAGTTTTTTTTTTTAAAGTCTCTAGATCATAGGATATGTGGATATTCAGCTTCAGTAGATTCTGCCAAATAATTTTCTCAGTACTGTTTTGGAGTTTTCCATAGTGAGGTTTTAATCCTCACCTGAGGATATTTTCCATTGATTTTAGAGAGGAAGGGAGAGAAATATCGATGTGTGACAGAGATATCAATGAGGTGCCTCCCTTCTGCACCCCAGCCAGGATCAAACCCACAACCTAGGTATGTGCCCTGACCTGGAATCGAACCCAGCAACCCTTTTGTGTAGGGGATGCTCTAACCAAATGAGCCACACCAGCCAGAGCTGTGTAATTTTTTAAGGGAACAAAGATTTTCACAATGTATCAGTAAATGAAACATTACAAAACAGTATATATAGTATGATACCACGTTTGAAAAAAACACACATTCAATATATAAATATATGCCAAAGAAAACAAAATGGAAAAATAATAGTAATAATCTACTGCTACATGTCTACTAAGGTGGATATGAGCAGAAGAATTTCCAAAGCTCTCCAATGATTTATAGGCGACTAAAAATTTTTTTGCTTTCTTTTGTTTTCTAATTTTTCTACAATAAACATTATTCCTACATTTATAAAAAACTAATAATAATGATTAAAAAAACCAAGTTGGGTCTCTTAGGGAAAAAGGGGGGAACTCCATTTCTGTCACCGCCCCTCCCACCAATGCACCCCACCCTCTCCACCCTGGGGGTCTTACATTTCAAGAAGAGTGATCGCTCTGGTGAAGGACTGATTTTCAACAGGGAGTCCGGCTTGGTGCTAGAGAAGCTGGAGAGCTGGCAGTTCATGTCTGCAACGAATCGTCAGAAATGAGTGCCTGGCGTGCATGCATGCATGCAGCACAGATTATAAAACACACCCAAACCATTATAAAACTGGAGATTCACATAAGCCCTCTCCCCCCAAATCATGCATATTTAGGTAGGAAATACAAATTCGCAGCCACGGGAGAACTCCAGGACAACACTCAGATCTGAGGAGAAACACACTTTCCAGGGTCTGGAACAAATTCAGCAAAGGCAGGTCAGTGTGAGTGAGCCCTGAACATGGGGAGGAGATGGCAGCCTCCAGAACCGTCCTGAGAATCGACTATAAACTAAACAAGTCAGCAACAGGGCAACCTCAGAACAGAAATGCAAGTTCCAGGATAAAGATGGAAAACAAGAAATTAGAGGTGAGTCCTCCCCTCAATGTTTCTCTCCCCAACTCTCTCTGGAAAAAAAAAAATCAATAAACATATCCTTGGGTGAGGGTTAAAAAAAAAATCTGCTTTGACAAACCAGCTCAGGAAAATCCATAGCTCAGTCCTATTGCAGCAGTGGTTCTCAACCTTCCTAATACCGCGACCCTTTAATACAGTTCCTCATGTTGTGGTGACCCCCAACCATAACATTATTTTCCTTGCTACTTCATAACTGTAATCTTGCTACTGTTATGAATCGTCATGTAAATATCTGATATGCAGGATGTATTTTCATTGTTACAAATTGAACATAATTAAAGCATAGTGATTAATCACAAAAAGAATATGTAATTCTATATGTGTTTTCCGATGGTCTTAGGCGACCCCTGTGAAAGGGTCATTCAACCCCCAAAGGGGTCGCAACCCACAGGTTGAGAACCGCTGTATTGCAGGAATCAGTGTCCCCAACTGTGTTCCCTTGTCTCAGTTGGCAGTGCCTTTCCTGGCTCTCCCACTGTCAAAATCTTAGTGATTAAGGCCCAACTCAAATCCCAGCTCCTCCTGCAAGGCCTCCTGATTTCCCATCAGAATGCTCTTTCCTCCATCTGAGCTCCCTTGGCCCCAGGCTATGCCTTCTGTTACCTCAGGAAGTAAGCCTGTGCTGCAGCCAGGGCCTGGCCTCACCTCTCTCCAGTTCCCAGGGGTGTTCAGTGCGTGCCTGTACCATTTCTGCCTTGTTCCTCTCACCCCTTTCCTTCTCCTTTTCTCCTGATCTTCAGAGCTAGCACTGCCCTGCCAGCCCCATTTGACAAGGTAGCTTCCAAGGTTTTCCACCTCATCTCCCACCATTGTGCCCAGTCACTATGGCCCCCTGTCTGTGCCCAGTCACTATGGCCCCTGTCTGTGCCCAGTCACTATGGCTCCCTGTCTGTGCCCAGTCACTATGGCCCCCTCTCTGTGCCCAGTCACTATGACCCCCTCTCTGTGCCCAGTCACTATGGCCCCCTCTCTGTGCCCAGTCACTATGGCCCCCTGTCTGTGCTCAGTCCCTATGGCTCCCTGTCTCTGCCCAATCACCATGGCCCCCTGTCTGTGCCCAGTCACTATGGCCCCCTCTCTGTGCCCAGTCACTATGACCCCCTCTCTGTGCCCAGTCACTAAGGCCCCCTCTCTGTGCCCAGTCACTATGGCCCCCCCTCTGGGCCCAGTCCCTATGGCCCCCTCTCTGTGCCCAGTCACTATGACCCCCTCTCTGTGCCCAGTCACTAAGGCCCCCTCTCTGTGCCCAGTCACTATGGCCCCCCCTCTGGGCCCAGTCCCTATGGCCCCCTCTCTGTGCCCAGTCACTATGACCCCCTCTCTGTGCCCAGTCACTAAGGCCCCCTCTCTGTGCCCAGTCACTATGGCCCCCCCTCTGGGCCCAGTCCCTATGGCCCCCTCTCTGTGCCCAGTCACTATGACCCCCTCTCTGTGCCCAGTCACTAAGGCCCCCTCTCTGTGCCCAGTCACTATGGCCCCCCCTCTGGGCCCAGTCCCTATGGCCCCCTCTCTGTGCCCAGTCACTATGACCCCCTCTCTGTGCCCAGTCACTAAGGCCCCCTCTCTGTGCCCAGTCACTATGGCCCCCCCTCTGGGCCCAGTCCCTATGGCCCCCTCTCTGTGCCCAGTCACTATGACCCCCTCTCTGTGCCCAGTCACTAAGGCCCCCTCTCTGTGCCCAGTCACTATGGCCCCCCCTCTGGGCCCAGTCCCTATGGCCCCCTCTCTGTGCCCAGTCACTATGACCCCCTCTCTGTGCCCAGTCACTAAGGCCCCCTCTCTGTGCCCAGTCACTATGGCCCCCCCTCTGGGCCCAGTCCCTATGGCCCCCTCTCTGTGCCCAGTCACTATGACCCCCTCTCTGTGCCCAGTCACTAAGGCCCCCTCTCTGTGCCCAGTCACTATGGCCCCCCCTCTGGGCCCAGTCCCTATGGCCCCCTCTCTGTGCCCAGTCACTATGACCCCCTCTCTGTGCCCAGTCACTAAGGCCCCCTCTCTGTGCCCAGTCACTATGGCCCCCCCTCTGGGCCCAGTCCCTATGGCCCCCTCTCTGTGCCCAGTCACTATGACCCCCTCTCTGTGCCCAGTCACTAAGGCCCCCTCTCTGTGCCCAGTCACTATGGCCCCCCCTCTGGGCCCAGTCCCTATGGCCCCCTCTCTGTGCCCAGTCACTATGACCCCCTCTCTGTGCCCAGTCACTAAGGCCCCCTCTCTGTGCCCAGTCACTATGGCCCCCCCTCTGGGCCCAGTCCCTATGGCCCCCTCTCTGTGCCCAGTCACTATGACCCCCTCTCTGTGCCCAGTCACTAAGGCCCCCTCTCTGTGCCCAGTCACTATGGCCCCCCCTCTGGGCCCAGTCCCTATGGCCCCCTCTCTGTGCCCAGTCACTATGACCCCCTCTCTGTGCCCAGTCACTAAGGCCCCCTCTCTGTGCCCAGTCACTATGGCCCCCCCTCTGGGCCCAGTCCCTATGGCCCCCTCTCTGTGCCCAGTCACTATGACCCCCTCTCTGTGCCCAGTCACTAAGGCCCCCTCTCTGTGCCCAGTCACTATGGCCCCCCCTCTGGGCCCAGTCCCTATGGCCCCCTCTCTGTGCCCAGTCACTATGACCCCCTCTCTGTGCCCAGTCACTAAGGCCCCCTCTCTGTGCCCAGTCACTATGGCCCCCCCTCTGTGCCCAGTCCCTATGGCCCCCTCTCTGTGCCCAGTCACTATGGCTCCCTCTCTGTGCCCAAATCTCAAGTTCTTCCCTCACCTTGGGCCCTTGGCACATGCTGTTCCTTCTGCCTAGAAAATGATTCTCCCAGACTAAGAACAGCAACAACAACAGCTAGCACTTACACAGTGCTTATGCCTGAGCACCACTCTAAGCACTTTGCGTACAAGATCTCATTTAATCCTTACTTCCTCTTACCCCTTTCCTTCTCCTTAAATGACCCTGTGAAGGGGGAACTGTATTACCATCTCTGTGTAACGGATGTGAAGACAGAGGCATAGAAAAGTTAGGTGCTTTACCCAAGATGACAGGGTTGGGCAGAGGTGGACCTGGGATAGGAACTCCGTAAGTCTGGCTCCAGAGTCATGCTGTGACCCCTATGCCCCCAGCCCTTCAGCTCTGCAGAGCTTATGGAGGCTTTCTTCAGCTCAGCTTACATGCCCCCTTCTCAGACAGGCCTTTCCCACTTCCCCGTATAAAAACCTCCTCCTCCTCCTCCTCTCCT